GGAGTAGGAGTAGGAGTAGTAGCAGCAGCAGCAGCAGGAGGAGGAGGAGGAGGAGGAGGAGGAGTAGTAGTAGTAGTAGTATATAGTAGTAGTAGTAGTAGTAGTAGTAGTAGTAGAGTGCTAGTGACAGCAGCAGTGGCAGCATCAGGAGCAGGAGGAGTGGTAGTAGTATTGGAGTAGTAGCAGCAGCAGCAGGAGCAGTGTTGGTAGCAGCAGATGTCGTAGTTGAAGGGGCTGCGGAAGCGAAACCATCGCTCGGGATTTGGCATGATGACCTGCGCAACACTGGTTGCATGCAACACGAACACAGTACCAGTTAACGCACTTGTTGCAGCTGAAGCCCAAGCTCTTGCGTTTGGGTCCACAGTGTCAGCACGGTACACGCTGGAAAAGGCGGCAAGACAGCTGACCAACTGGAATTACCCAAATGAGTTTGGTGCAGGCTCAAGCGTGCCAGCACCTCCGCCAGCACAGCGTCCCGTCATCAGTCGCGAACCTCAGCATCGCGCGGCGCCGCATAAACCATTGGCGCGGCGGCAAACCTCGAAGAGGGCATAGACTTGCTGAGCTCAAAGGCTCCATTCTTGAGTCCCTTGGACCCGGAGTCTCAGAAAATGGGCGTAGCTAAGCTGCCTTGGTAAGGCGGTTGAGGCGCAGTAGAAGACCGTGTGCGTGGCGGTCGCCTGTCATTGGTTTGGGCTGGTGCTGATTCTGCTGTTGCTGCCACTGCTGCTTTGTTCGTGTTGCGTTCTGCCGCCGAGCGGGAGCGGCATAATTCCGTAGAGTGTGTAGCATTCGCTGCTCTGTTTGAGATGTGCTTTCACGGTGAAAGATTTAGTGACAAGTTTAGGGCCGACAGCTTGTCCTACAATCTCGCCACCGAAGGTTAGCTCGATTCAGCAGACCTTACTGCTTAGACCTTGCTTCCTGAAAATTGACTTTGTGTCGGTGTCGTCGTCGTCGTCCTAGCAAAGATCGAGGGCCGTCCATCGATGTCGGAGCATTTATTGACCTGGTCAAACACGATTGCTTGGGTACGCCTTCGTTGTTGATACCTGGGCAAGCTGCGTGACTGCCGCTGTTGCAACCTAGCCGCTTCCGGCATTCGACAGTCTGAGAGGGCTGAATGGTTTTGGCGCGTTTACGCCGGTTCTTTTGTTTCTATACGTCGCCGCCAGACTCATGCAGGTAAAGGATGAAGGCCCTGTTCGATCACAGGCACGCATGTGTGTGCGGTTGCCTTTATCAGCTGAAGCCAAAATGAAACATCTCAGCGACATTGCCCTTGCTCTTTGTTTGGCTGCGTGCAGGCCTTGTCTGAAGTGCGCGAGGTGAAGCCTGATGCAGAAGCGAGGAGGAGCTTCGGACTGTCGGTTGGAATTGGACTGGTCAAGAATGGGGCTGTATCTGCTCCCGAAGAAGCGATGCTTGACAGTTTTTGACTTTTTTGACCATGCACAGGTGTTGCGGCCGTTGTTGCGATTGTTTGATGGCTTAGAAAGGTACGTAATGTTTTTGAAGAAGGCAGCGACAGTAGCCAACATGAGCAGATAGATGGCAGGCGACCACCAGTACCTCTGCCACCGAAGCGAAGCTTGTCCTGACATGGCTGCAGCAGCGAATAAACACGGCCACGCCATGACGAGTATAGAGTGCTGAGGATTGCACGTGCGCAGCCAGAAGGACAAGGACAGGCAGACAGAGAGAGGAAGGGAGAGAGAGCCCTGGCGAAAGCATGAGAGACGCAAGCAAAATACCGTTGAATATTGGGGGCCTCAGAGTGTAGAGCACGGTGCGATTCAGTCGGCTCAGAAGGAGCACATGCGAAAGGGCAACAAGGGTCTGGAGTTAGCGAATCCTTGTGTTTCGTCTTTAGTGATTTTTTGGTGTGAAACCGACCCATTTTGCAGTGCGCGTGCAGTGTGTCTGTAGAGTTTGTGCAGCTGAAAGCACCCCTTTGACCGCAGGGGCCCCTTGAGTTGAAGCCAACGGCTGAGCGGAAAAGAGACTAG